CTGTTATCATAGCTTGGTGCCTTATGCATGCTCCCAACGTCAGGCAGCCTGTCATGATAATTGGCAGGATGTTCCCTGCATTACTGTTTGGTGTCCATTAGTGCATTACCTTGACCACAGCTTACAATTTCATAGAGTTTCTTTGCTTCCTCAGGGTATTCTTTCCTACCATTTATGAGGTAGTTTCCAAAATATTTCCAAAGCATTTTCCAAAACCCTGTACCCATTCTTGAGGTATTGTTTACTCATTTTTATTAACTCAGTGGTGTTCCACCTTTTGGCCCCATGGGCTGGATGAATGGCATGAAGCCAGGCCATGGGCTGGATTGGGGCCCAGGTGCCAGGATCAGACCTCCACCTGCCTCTGTGAGCTAGATCTGGTCCACAGACTGGGGGTTGCACACCTTGATTGAACTCATTTACTTACCCAGTATTTTGTTAGCGCTTCACTGGAGTTTCTGCATTCTTCTCACATGTTATATAACAAGCGATAAAGATTTAACAATTAGACTTTGCTGCAGGTTTGCTTGGAAGATATTCCTAGGAATCAGGGTTAGGAAGATCTTTAGCTGCATTATCCTCGTATTCTGCAACATTTCCTTGCCAGTTCCTATTTAAAAACTGAGCCTACATTGTTATCAGAATTGGAATTGCATATGCTAATCGGGGTTGGTTAGAAGAAAGGGAATTCGTCACACTCATTAGATATCCCATCAATGAGTGTATCACTAGGGCTGTGCAAAGCTTTGGGTGCTGATTCTATTTGGAGGAGATTCGGCCTGATTTGGTGGCCGAATCTCCAAATCTGAATCGAATCAGGGGGCCAATTAAAAGGTCCAAATCAATTCGAAACTCTCCGAATCTTCAGAAAAGATTTGGAGAGCTTTGATGATTCGGACAGTCCCCAGTGGCTGCAGCAAGGACCGTGGGGGGATCCCTGCCAGGCCACATCCTCTGCCTGTTCCCCCAGGCCCTCCCTGTGGCTGCCCCAGCTCCCAGCCCTTAAAAAAAAAAGCCCACTCACTGGTGCTGCCAGGCAGGGGGGAGACAATCCCTGCTGCCCCACACTGGATGGGGGGCTCTGCACGAGCCCCCCTCCTCCAGCCCCTCCATAGGAGCCCTGCCCAGCCCAGCTCTGGCCCATTAAGAAAAAAAACAAACCCTGAGAAAATCCCCAGACTCACGGCTCCTGCAGCATCCTCGGGGCTTCGGGGGGCTTGTGCAGAGGGGGGATCACCCCTGTCGGCAAGAACTGGTAAGTGTGGGGGTTTTTCTCATTTTTTTTCCTTAAAGGGCCAGAGCTGTGGCAGGTGGGGCACCTGTGAGGGTGCTGGGGGAGTGAGGGGAGGGGTCGGGGGGCTCGTGCAGAGCCTGCTACGCAGCATGCGTCAGTGGGGGGCAGCGGGGATTGCCTCCCGCCTGGCAGCACCCGCTGAGTCGGGGCTTTTTTTTTCCCAAGTGCCAGGAGCTGGGGCAGGCAGAGTTGCAAATGCTGGGCTGGGAGAGCGGGCAGGGGATGGGCCTGGCAAATCTCTGAACCAGATTTGGCCAAATCGATTCTGGACAGTGATTCAAATCACCGAATTGAATCACTGTTCCTCGAATCGGCCGAATCTGAATCCAAAGTGAATACTAGCCGTTTCACACAGGCCCAGGTATCACCACCGTCCAAAAAATAACTCTGCTCCAGTGGTATTTCCATTATATGTTTTAGTTGACTTTATTGGTTTTGTTTTTAGTCACCATGGCTACTGGAAGACTCTCACAACTGAGTTCCATTATCTGAGGCTTGCCTTGTTTGCTGTCATAGTCCACAACTTTTTAATTTTTGTCAATCCATTTCATTTGGAGGAGGTGCACTGGGCCACCAACCAAGCATTTAGTGCAGCAAACTGTCCTCCTCGAACTTGGATTTGATTCCCCAGTTCCTGCTGTTTCTGATTGAATTCTTTATGGGTAAGTGGACCTCCCAGTTTTGTTTGTTGCACTTGTACTATCCTGTTAGCACCTTTTAGATCATTTGGGTCCCGCTTACCCTGTTGTTTTTCATTTCTCTCCAGGGCAAGTTGAATCTAATACTCCTGGAGCTGGCATGCAGATTTTTGTTTTGTTTTTTGTTTTTAGTGGTGAATTTATTTATCAGATTTATACACCCTCCCTGCCAGCAAAGGCTCAGGGTGGCTGGTTACCTTGAACTGTTAAGATAGTTGCTTCAATCCAGCATCTGCTGCTAATCTTCAATTTGCCTCTTATTAGATTTCACCTTTTCCTTTACCTCCCATGTTTTTATAGCACCAGAGATCCTTTAAAAATTTTTTTTTTACCTTTTATTGTTCCTTCTACTGTTTGTTTAAACAAATTACTAATAAGTTCTCATGGGTTTTCTACACCCTCAGCATCCCACACTGTGGACACAGTTCCATGTTTAGCTACATATTCAACCACAACATTTTTAACATCACCCTTTTTCGTTGCCATGGTGAAATTTTCAACAAAGGAAAACCTTTTGCTTTCCACTGCACTAGGTGAATTACTCTACAAGGGCTTAATTGCTCAGTAAACAAAAGATAACTGGTTCAGTTGGCTGGATTCCTACCTTTTTAAAGTTACAAGCACTTCTTTTTTGCTGCACTTTAGTCCTGGGTGTTATAAAAGCATCACTCTGCCAGCCACTAGGCTTTGTTTCTCTTACTGGCTGTGGTTCAGTCCAATCAGACATGTCCAGGACAAATCTTGATTGAACTCAGTTACTGCTTGATGGATAACTGGCTGCCAGGTAGTTAACTAACGGACTCACTATCGATCTTCATGATTCATTCAATAGGTAGGAGGCTCTTCTAAGGACATATCCCCACTGCTTCCCTGGTATTCTTCAAAGCACCACCAAGAAGCATGGCCCCATCCTGTTCCAGTTTTGCACATGCTCGACTCAGAATGATGGTGGTGGAGCCACCTTGGCACGCTGCTCACCCACTGCTCTTGAGCAACTTGTCTGTGCAGTAGCGGAGAGCTGTGATGGGGTGTCCCCTTACAGCAGCTTCACAAACTTATTTCTGGATTGGGCATGACAGCTGGAGCAGGTGGGCAGGGCCAGGATTCTCACTGGTGCTTTCAACAAAGAGCGCTGGGAAAGTGGTGTAGAGACATATCCTTTGACAACCTAAACCAGGGGATCTCAACCTTTTGAGACACAAGGCAACTCCCCTTAGACTGAAGATACCCCTTGGAAAATGCCAGCTCTTAGCTTTCACTCATTTCTTGACTACAGAAAAATGATTGCAAAAAACTCAGGAAGCCCACAATAGGTCAGAATGTTTTTTGACACCATGGATTCCTATTTGAAATGTCAGGGATTATCTTGTAAATCATGTATATGTATTTGCACACCGAACAGTGCTAATATTGCATTGCACCCTTAAAAGGATCAGGTGCTGTGAGAAGGTGCATGGGTGCTCCCTAGAAGGTGTCAGTTTGTCAAGATCAAACAGGCTGAGCAAAGTTTGGGTCTTAAAAAAGGATTTTTTCCCCCATTGCAACCAGGCCCCTTTCTTATCGTTAACTGAGGCTTCCTGACCTGGATGTCACTCGCGGCCCCATCAACATGCCCAAGGCACTTAATACATTTTCTACTAACAAGGTTTGAGAACTCATTATCACACTGGTTCATTTACCTGCATTATGAAAAGCAACAGAGGCATCTGGGAAAATTTGGTCAAAAGGGCTTTAGTATAATTCTGCAGTTAAAATATAAAATAGAATACAGCATATACATACATACATATATTTTACATGATTCATTTTTCTCACTGTGCTTAAAGCTGATACTTTAGCCTGCCCTTTATATACCATTTTAATTGTATATAATCAATTTAATCATCTCCTTTTTAGAGAAGAGAAATGGAGGGGCAGACACACTGCAGTAATGTGAAAATTTTAGTCATTTTTAAGGCTTTATTTAGACTGTAAGTTTCGGGGATGGGGACTAGCTTTGTTTCTGTACTTAGCCCAGCATAGTGACCCAAGAATGGGACTCTCTGCTGTTGTCACAATACCAATGATTAATAACAGTAAGCTGTGTGTGGGATGGCTTACTTCTTTAGAAGTGAAAAAAGCATTCTCCCCATGTGTTATATAGTTTGTTTTCAAAGAAGGCTTAGTAAGACTTTTATGCCACATCATGTTTTGTGGAAAATGTTGTTTTAAATATATTTAGAGATGTATAAAAATGTTTAGTTCTGCTTTTATATGTGTGTGTATGTATGTGTGTGTTTATTTATTTGCCTATCAAGCTCCTTCACTATAATACTATGACACCAATTCCATAGGCCTGGGAAGAAGAGGAAACCTATAGCTAGTATATCATAAAAAATTACAAGGTCAATCTAATTTACATAAGAATATATGTTAAGGCTATTATTATTAATAATAATATTAATGATAATGTTGGTGTTCTTCTTATTTATATCCTTCATGTGCATTCTTATGCTTATAAGATTATCCTTATAAGTTTTTAAAGATTTATTCACTATAGGTTTCTTCTTCGTTCCAGGCTGATGATAATAATAACAAAAATAATAATAATAAAAAATACACTGACATCTTGCCATTTAGCATGACTAGAAAATAGTTTAATTTTATTAAAAAGGAGAAGCTTCTGGTTTGTTTATACTGTACTATAGATAATAGATTCCATCCTTTAGTGGGTCAGAAATTATCAACACTTCAAACCTCTTGCTCATTTAAGTAACCTCTCCGTGGCTTAAGGGTCAGTCAGTCAGCCAGAGGGGGAGGATAGGAAACATGCTTGACTTTGGTGCCAGGTTGTTAAAACAGTCTGTTGCTTCTCAGAGGTCTGGAATCTAAGCAGAAGTCCCAGTCATGATGGATTGTGGGAAGAGTCCAGGCAAAGTTGTCAAAAATGCATGCTAAATGCCATCTGTCTCACAGTGGTGAGCTACAGTTGACATTTCTAATGCTGTATATCGCTCAGCACCTTCAAATTATTGCCATTTTAAAGTAACTGGTACAAGTCTCTTTGTTTTTTCTTCACAGTTTATTGAAAG